ACCACCGCCCCACCTGCTCTGCACGCAGCCCCCGGGGACAGCTGCCCGCCCACGGCCCTCAGGGCCCCCGCCTTCCCACAGCTCCCGAGTCCCTCCGGGCGCGGGCTCAAAATGCACCCAAGCAGCCCCCGGGGAGATGGAGAGGAGGCCGGCGGGGGCTGGCACGGGGCCCAGGCCGGGGCCGGAGGTTGGGCGGCCTGCACTCACCGCGGCGCCTGCGGGAACCACGGACCACACGTTCGCCAGCGGCTCCCGCAGAACCACCAGGTAAACGGCGCGTCTCCGTGGCAACCGGGGACGCGTCACCCGGGTGAAGGGGGCGGGGCCGCGGCCGGGCGGCTCTGCGCAGGCGCGACCCTGAGGCCTCGCGGCAGCCGGGGAGCCACACTGGGGGCGCGGCGGTCCCCACCTCCCACGCCCGCGGGGGACACCAGGCAGATGACAGCGATCGCGGCCCCGAGCCCGGGGCGGGGCCCTGCGTCTAGCCCTGGCCCTGCCGCGGCGCCCCTGGTGCTCAGCGGGTTGGGCCTGGACACGGACCACCAGCCCGGCGCCGCGGGAGGAGGTGCGAGAGGCCCGGGGCGGCTGCGGTCGGGAGGGTCGGGGGCTGGGGGTCGGGGTCAGGGGTCGGGGGTCGGGAGCAGCTTGTCCGGCTATGGAATGAGAGGACAACGCTCGGGATATGTGGGCTAGGGCTGTAATACTGGCGAAGCACTCACAGGTAGAAAATAAAGGAATTACCCAGTGGGGGAGAAATACGGACGGGTCGTCGTCCTCACAGCCGGAAACCCAGAAAATGGGCGTTCAAATCTCCCGCCCATGTGATGGACAGCGTCACCACTTTACAGCAGCCAATCGAAGGCCACCTCCCCTCTAAGGACAACCAATCAGAGGAGGCTTGGCCTCGTGAGGCCCGCCCCTAGGTCTCGCGAGGCGTCGGAGCGCCCGGGAGACCCGCAAAGCGTCATGGATATTAAGCAGCCGCCTGTCCAATGGCGTGCAGGGGAGGTGGTGTTGCATATTCATATCCCCGCCCCCCAAGGAGGGGCTACTTAAGGAGCGCGCGGCGTTTTCCCCGGTCCGTGCCCCGTCGAGGAGCCAGGGTGTCTGTGTGCGGTCCGGGCGGAGGCTGCGCGCGGGAGCCGGGTTGGGGTCGTGCGGCTCCCGAGGGCGCGGGGCTCCCGCACTTGGGCGACAGAAGGGGGCGGCGTCCTGGAAAGCCCGCCAGGCGCTAGGCCCCACCCTGGGGGCGCCCCCAGTTTGCAGACCCGCAGGCTTCCTGGGACTGTTGGAAACGGTAGAATCGGCAGAAGTACTGAAATCAGCTCTGTGGGTTATGATCGTAGGTCACCGTTGTATCTGCATCCGTGAGCAGAGGTAACCCTCGCCCTCCCTCCCGGGGTGGAGGCGCTGAGAGAGCCCTGAGACCCTCCCCCGCGCACCCGCTCTGGGGTGAAGGGACATCGGCCCCTCTCCGCTGGTGGTCCGCGCTCTGAAGGCCTAACGCTGCTGCATCTCTCGATGTGCTTAAGAAAGAAGGAAGGAGAAGGAACTCTCCTTTGCTGTTGATTCTGGAGTTCCAGTCTAATTACAAGCATTTGAAAAAAAGAAAAACCTTATTTTGCACATGCAAGCCAGCAAAGGACTGAGCCCAGCAGAGGAAGTGTGAAACAACTGATCATCACTAAACACTCCGCGTGCGTCTGGCACCAGGCTGTGGGTAGGGATTAATGGAGCATCCAGCACAGGGCTTAGAATCTGCTAAATTAGCAAGCATGCCACCAAAGCTTACAAAGTAGAAATATTCAGGCAAGGGGCATTGAAGCTTTACATGATTTTGAGATTTTCGTCGGTTGGAATAAAGCTGTGTTTCCCAAACCTGAGTCATTCTGGCACCAACTTCTTACTGACCCAGCCATGCACCACCTGTAAAGTTACTTTGGTGTTTTCCCTCAACTGCACTCATTTTTACATGGAAGCATAATTATTTTAAAAGGAGGCTTTGTATCACCATCATAAAGGGAAACCAATATCACTGGTATTATAGAAAGTGACCGTGAGTAATATTACTATACATTTATGAATTCCAGTGATCAAAAAATGAACACACTTGAGGACCCTGGAAGGCACGCAGTTATCTTGTTGTTCCTCATGGTGCCGCTGTGCATTTCTTTTCTTTTCTTTTTTTTTTTTGGTTGTTTTAATTTTTTTTTAATTTTTTTATTATGTTAATCACCATACATTACATCATTAGTTTTAACCGCTGTGCATTTCTGACGGCTTAGGTACAGCTCATACCTCTATTCCTTCAGACTTTCTAGCCACGGAGTATACATGGTGCCAGAGTTCTCCCCTTTATTTCATTTTGCATGAAAGAACTTTGGGAAGCAATATGGGTGGTTTTTAAATCTATGGGTTTACTTTGGAGTTTTTGAGATACCTTTGAAAAGAATCCGATGCTTGCAATTGCAAGGAACTTGAATGGTTGTCTGATGTGAATATCTTCTGCAGCATCCACAGAGGTTGCCCAGTGCTTGAACACGCCCAGTGACGGGGAGCTCATCACCTCCCAAGGCAGTCCTTCCTGGGGCTGCTGTGCTGGAAAAGCCTTCTGGTAGTTTCCACGCCTGGGTGCTAGTTTACATCTTGGGCCATACAGAATAAGTCTGATTTTTCCTCCGCATGAGCTACCTTTACGTATTTAAAAGCATCTGCCCTTTCTCTGCCAAGAATTCTCCAGGCTGACTATTCTAGCTCCTTCGACCCTTCTTTGGGTGATGGCATTTCTAAGCTTCCACCCCACCATCTCTCCTCCTGACTTGTCCCAGTTTACCTGTAGTCCAAAATTGTATGTAATACACCCACACCGGAAGGAGGTGGTGATTTTAATGGAGATTTCATAGGATGGCTTTTCAGCATCAAAATTCCCAGAACAAGAGCTTTTGATCATAGCACACTTCACCAGGCCCTTCGAAAAGCTGAAATGAACTGCCGACAAGTGCGGCAGGAGCCCTGGGGTCACAGGGGGTGTAGACAGGGGGGCTTCTACTCCTTCTGCCAATGACCCTTGAACATGTCACTTCCCCGCTCTGACCATGTTCCTCATTTTGAACCTGAGAAGGAGGGCGCTGTGTAACCCCAGAAGCCCAGAGCTACATTTTCATTAAGAAGGGTTTATTGAGGGTGCCTGGGTGGCTCAGTTGGTTAAGCGACTGCCTTCGGCTCAGGTCATGATCCTGGAGTCCCTGGATCGAGTCCCGCATCAGGCTCCCTGCTCGGCAGGGAGTCTGCTTTTCCCTCTGACCCTCCCCCCTCTCATGTACTCCCTCTCTCTCATTCTCTCTCTCTCAAATAAAAATAAATAAAATCTTTAAAAAAAAAAAAAAGAAGGGTTTATTGAGCAGAGCTTTTTAAAACGCAGGCAGGCCTGGTGTGTGTGTATCCACATCAGACTGACCCAGTGAGGCATATATGCCACCTTCCAACAGTGCCAGGCAAGGCTCAGGCCACCTGCCGGGGGGCATTCTGTTGTCATGACCAGCAGCGTGCCGTTCAGTCACAACACAGCCCACACCAGCTTTAGTGCGGATTACACATGGGCTATTTATCTGACGTTCCCAAGTATGACAAGGAATAAGAGATATTGTAAGCACATCTATTTTGAAACCAAAAATCTCCTCTTGTAAGCTTTACAACACGTTGAGTTTGTAAGCCTGGAAAATAAAAATCATTTGCTACTCCTTAGCTGCGGGATTGTCCCATTTTTATGCAGCTACATGTGTTAAATAAGGAGAAGTAATGGATCCTGAAGCTGATACAGTTCCGTAACTAGAGTCCCAGCTCCACCTCCTAGCGGAGTCAACCTGAGCCAAAACTGGGATGTTAAGGACCAGGAGCTAGAGCCTGTATTCCCAACCACTGAGCCCACTGTCTGAGCACTGTGCTCACTCACATGCTCAGGGGGACGCTGCCAGTCATTTCCATGGTGGTCCACGGTGGCCTTCTCAGAGTGGAGTGCCAGAGGCTTGACTGAGACCTTCTCTGAACCTGGCAATGCATCGAGCCCATATTTGCCTTCTGGAATCTGAGCTAAGTGGCCTTCACCATGTTCTGTCCTGGTCTCCTTAAAGACGAGTGGGTGATGTGAGGGACCCCGCGAGAGCCCCCATCCGTCTTGGGGAGCCGTCCTGTGAGCTGCTTCCCGCAGCGACCACATCCAGGTGGGAGCCCTGCTTCCAGCCGGTCCTGCCTCCGGACACCCGGGCTCCTGGGTCACAGCCGAATCTTGGTGGTGCTTTGGCAGTTTGACTTTGATGATGACAGGCGGTCCCTCATCTCCAAAATTGCTGGATTAAAGTTTACGAAACGTCTTCTGTTTCCGATCTTTAAGGGTTTTTTGGTGTTTTGTTTTTTTTTTTGAGACAATCCGAGTAGGTGTGTCTGTTGGATCAGACTCAGCGCACCTGCTCCTTACTGCTGTCTAAGCACCTAAACCAAAGGTCGAATGTGTTAAATATCCTGGGCTCCACCAGGTGCTCCAAAAATAAGGCCAGAGGTCATCAAAAGGAACTACGGCCTGGCTTTACAGTGATGCCCGCATGCATAATGGTATTCACTCCACAACTCTGACAATAGAAAAGACCAGGACCAACTTACGATACCATCAAGAGCAGGCTTGTTAAATTGTGGCACATCCTTACATCGTAAACCGTAAAGCTATGAAAGAACAGGGAAGGTCCTTATGCAACCACATGAAATCCTCTGCAAGGGTTAATGTTCAACGAACAGACAAACAACAACAAGAATCAATGTGCAGGAATGTTGGAATCGTACACTGTCGCTCGTGTACAAAAGAGCAGGGAGAAAACTGTGACCTTGGGATTTACAGTAAGAAAGTTGTATTTGGTCTTCATCTCTGTTCCCAGCACACTGCTCCTGAAACCCCTGCAAACTCCGAAGTGGCCAGAACACCGGGAGCCTCGTTGGTCCTATCGAGGGGACTCTGGATGGGCTCCTGGCTGGCTCCCGGCTGGGGTCTGATCTGCAGAAAGACGGAGCCAGGACTGGAAGCTTGGAGTTTTCAGCCCCGACCCCCGCTCCCCAGAGAGGGGAGAGGAGCCGGAAACAGTTCACAATCAATCAATCACACCCACTCAGGGACACCTCCATAAAACCACAGTAGTCGGGGATTGGGGGTTTCTGGGCTGGTGAACACATCCACCTGGGGCGGGTGACGCACCCCAACTCCACAGGGACAGAAGCTCCCGTGCTCAGGACCC